TGAGACGACAACAAGTGATGCGATTTTCATTTTCAAGCGTTTTGAAAAACTTAAGTGCAACCATGTCTATGGGGAGGAGAATGCTGCGGGAAAGGGATGTGCTAGTTTTAGAAAGTAATTGTCTTCACAATATAGGTTGTGTTACTACTCAGCTGCGCAAGAACTGCACTTGTATTGAACAATTGCCAAATCTTAACTGAAATAGAACAGCAAGGTGCAGTCAGTGGAAGGCGTGGCAAGAAGTTTCTAAGTCTGCCATTTCTTCTGAATTTTGCCACGGAGCTGAAGCAATTTAGAAAAACGGGGATGATTGCTTACCATTTCTGAAATCCTTTGACAAAAGGCATAAGGTTAATTTGGCAGTAGCAGAAATTATTCTCGGGTAAAACCATTCTGCAATTTTAGCAACAGTGATTGTTGAGATTACACAATCTCAGCTAAATTTGTTTGTGTCACAATGCTTTGGCAATTTGACATGTTTCTCTGGAGAGTATTTTTTTATTATTGCTCTGAAAGATTTTATTTACCGAAAATGTGAATATCAGTAAGAGCAGATATACATGACCACAGGCAAACATTTGCAAACAGCCTGAAACAATAGCTCTGAATGCTAAGGGTTTTTTCCTTCTTAATTTCAACAGAATAGTAAGTTTAAAACATCATAAACATGATTTATGTCCTGCTTGTGGAACATTCAAGTGTTCAGACACAATTTTCTCTATTCACACAAGCACTTACTGGTTACACTTGTTTATGTTACATTTGTTTAAGCAGCCCTTTCTTTTACTGAGAAATTACTCAGTTCCTTTAGAACTGATTGGGTTATTTGGGTAAATCAGCTGTATTTATGTGCATGAAGAAATGACTGTAATAATGCTGATACAAAAGGGTCATGCATCAGTTGGCTGATGTGTAGATGAATGGACTCCTGTATCGTAGTAAGAAGTGAATAGTTCAGATGAGTTTTTCTATTTTTGTGTTTCAAAGAAATTTCAGGACACTGAAAATGCCTGTGACTCTACAGGAATGGTCCCTGCAACTGTTTGATCTCTCACTTCTCTATGCTGATTTTTAGTGAGAGTTGTACCTGCCCCTCTTTACTGAATTAGTTTAATAAGAGATATGTCACCCAATGTTGCTATTATAAGCCAGAATTTTATTTTCAGATCCTATTGCCTAACATAGATAAGGTTAAACTCTTACTCTTTCAGTAATAAAATAAAATCTAAAATAACCCAACGGATATCTGCTTGCTTTGTTGCTATCCTTACAGCTTTCCTTATTAGACATTTTCAGTACAAACATCTTTCCTGCTAGCAACAGAAGAAAAAGCAAGTTCCCTTTGCTGGGAAAGCTATACAACTGACCTCATGAATCCCCCTTCTCCTGGACTGAGAGACAAACTATCAGTCTCTACACTAGAGAAGGACTCCAGATGACATTACAGAAATGGAGTGTCAAAGCCATCTTGCTTACTCTGGATTTCACATAGTAACTGAGACTGTTTATGTCAGAGGCCAGTTCTTGGTAACTGTCATTGCTCTTAGCTGCTTAACATTTGGGGTTCTACTAGTGTCTATGTCAATAGTCTTCAAATATAGAGAATTTCTATATTATATGTAGAATGCGTCCAATCTTTCAACCCAACAGAAGCAGCTACTTGTCAGCAAAAGCTTGTGATTTAATAAAGCACAAAAAAGACACCCATAGTGTTCATCAGCCACATTTTTTATAACAACTCACTTAGGAAGCTACTTCTCCAAACTGCATCCCAAATAGCTTGCCAAAATCAATCTAAGCAAAAACTATAGAGAAGGTTGACTTGGCCCAGTATGTACAGACTGAGGGGAAAAGATTGTTTATGCTTGCTGTTTATATTAAAATGATAAGAACAGCAGTTTGATGAAAGTAACATATACTGTGCGTATTCTGATTTGGCAGCAATAACTAAGGTGGCACCCCAGCTCATGAGCAAAGGGGCTCACACCAGTTGCATCCCTGTGGTGTTTCAGCAAGCATGTTTTTACTGTCTTGCAGACTCTGCAGACCCTTCATTTCTTGCTCCCACAGATCCTCCTCCTCTGAGTGTCTGCTGCACAAGTTCAGCCATAATTTCCAGCTGAAAACTTGAGCCCTACATCTGAGGTTGAAAAGGAGAGCCACCTTATTTTGACATTTTGCAAGGACTCGGGGTAACAAGGAGAAAGCAGAATAAATGTGATTGGTTTTTGCAAATAAACCTGTTTGTGAGGGCAAGGGGAACTTGAAGCTGTCATAGGTTGTCCCTGGGAGCTCCAATCCATGCCTGTCACTGGAGGACTTAACTTACCTGCCATGCTTCTTCAGAGGAGAAACGTGACATTTGTCAAGTGCCTGAGAGGGCCTGGATCTGCAGGTATTGAAGCTAGCTGTGGCAAAGCCTGAGCAGAAGCCCAAATAGGGCTTGAGGACTAAAGATTTACCAGCTTTCAGGATGTGTTAATGAGAAAGTCTGCCTGGCACCGTGTTGTCTATGTTTCTCTGGGAGGAGCGCTTGGTGTTGCTCAGGTGGGTGAGGAATCCTCACATCAGCTGAGCCTCTGCTACCTGATTCTGGACCTCAGTATGATGGCAATCTGACCATGGATGTTTCAGTCAGTGAAGAAAGGAAGAGTCATAATCATGTTAGTCTTGGGTAGAGTCTAGAGATTCATGTTATTGGGCAGCCTAAGACACCAGTGGTCTACAGGGGCACTGCACCCACAAGCAGCTTACTCAACTTTGTCTCTCTCTTGTTGCTTTGTAGACTGTCAAGGTGCCCCCTTGGATACTGGAGTTTGAGACCAGTGGCAGCATGCTTGTTATGTTCCTAGTGTGATTGTTCCATGTTACCCTGTTTCCTAGACATATCTGGGTGTGGGAAAAAAATTTAAAATCAGTGTAGGTTGACCAGGAATTGTTCAACTCTTGGAAGTCCTCCTTCACGTTAATTTGGCCAACATCTCACAACAGTATGTCTCTGGCTCTGGTGAGTACAAGGAGGCTATTTCTACAGATGCCCAAACTCCTGGAAGCTGTGAGGGATGCTGATGACATGGGAGACCCTCCTCAAAGCACAGCTAGTGTATTGCTGTGGTCCGTGTGCATGAGGCCTGCCCTGCACAAGGGAAACCATCTGTCAAAGCCTCTCATCCTTTCAGGTTCTTGCTCTGCAGAAGGGAAAGCTTTCTTGTGCTCCTTCCAAGACTCATGTCTGATCCTGCTCTGGGAGCAGGCTGTCTGTGGTCTGGGAAACCAATGACATTGTGGCCATGACTGTGAGGGGGTGGTTGTGGAGTGAATGGCTGGGGCAAAGGAGAGTCTCTGTGAGCCTGGCACTGGAATGAAAGAGGTGCAATTGAGAAGAGTTGTAAGAAGAGTTTTGCTGGTTACTTTACCACGGTCGTGTCATGCAATCAAAGCAAATGTCAGTCCCGACTGCATTGCTATTTAGAACATCTCAGAGTGGGTTTGCATTTAGAGCCTGAATAGCATCATTTTGAAACCATGCCCGCAGCAGTTGCAGTAAGAAGTTGAGCAACTGCGTGTAAGAGTCAGCTCTGGGGAGGCCAAGTTTTAAGTGCTCCAAGAAGTGAGTGAACTGCAAGGAGGGCTGCTTAAATACATCTTTATTAATACATCAGTTTCAGCAACAGCTGAGGCCGTGACAGGCTGTGTTGCTAGCCAGGACCTCCATTTTGTCATACTTAAACTCACATGTGATTAAGCTGAAATTCCCTCCTGGATCCAGGAGTGGCTGAGGAGTGACTGTTTTCAGGTTTCTCATGTTTTCAGGTGGGTGGAAGGGTGCTGTGACTGTCTGCCTGGGTCAGATGAGCTGGCTGTGAGAACCCATGCCCATGAGACCTTTAGCTGCATGAGACAGGGTGTGTAATGTAAGCTACGTCGCTGTGCCACAACCTGCTGTTTTCTCATCCTCAGCTGTGAATGTGAATACCTACATGAACACGCAAGATGAAGACAGCTGAACCTTCTAGGCTTTCTGGAGAAGTCCACACAGCAATAGGCTATTCTAGATTTGATTACAGAAAGGCACAAGCATGAAATGAAATGCAACTAGCAAGCAAAAAAACCCCAACAAAACCCCAACACATCACTCTAGAAGCCCACTAACTGTATGAAGTAGAAGGGGCTCTCTAATGCTAAAGTGAGAAGACTAAAAGATGTCAGGAAGGCAGTACCTTCTAGACTTTACTACAAAAGATCAGTAAAATAAGGAAACTAATGCATTAGCTTCAGTTAAGAAAAGGGTAGAACATTTAAGTCAGGTATTTTCAAATATACCTCAAGTCTCTCTTTAGCTGCCCCAGCATATTTAAAGATTTTGCTGTCAGAATCTCAGACTCAATAATCAACGCTTTTAGAAATTATGGATGTTAGGTAGGAAAGAGGGAGGCTGTAAAGTGACAAGCATGGCAGAGGAGAGGGAGGAGAAAAAAAAAGAGAAAGTAAGAAATTATTGATTAAGCAAATTCATTCCAATTCTAGAAAAATAGTGAAAAATATGTTTCTACATCTCTGAAAAATAACATAGGTATGAGTAACCATCAACAGGAAATCATGTCTCAAAAGTCTGATTGCCTTTATGACAGCTTGACATACCTTATGGATAGAGAAAAACTGTATGTGCAATATGTCTTGATTTTCAGGCAACTTTTCATGAGATTCCCATAAGCAAATAAATGAAGTGCTCTGCATTGATCTGCAGCTAGGTGCATGCAAAGCTTGTTGGAAAACCAGAATAGGGGGTGGTTCTCTGATAAAATGGAAATGTGTATCAAGTTGGATTGCACAGATCCTGAATCTGGTGACCTCGATGAATACTCGTGAAAGGGAAAATGCTTACTAAGTTCACATATCTATCAGGCTGGGAAGGAGTAAGTATGCTGTAGGACAGGGACAGAAAAAAAAAAAAAGATCTTCAATTAGAAATATGAAAAAAATGGGAAGCTAGTTCAACCAAAACAGTAGGAATAATCAACCAGTTGGGAAAACTAAGTAGGCAGCAGTTCTGTACAACAGTAACTCAGGCTTTGAGTGGTCACAGGCTGGTGTGAGTCAACCATGGCTTGTTATTGCAAAGAAAAAAAGATAAGCGACCTGCTGGGATGAATTACGAGGATTAGAGTCTGAAAGACTTGGCAAGGAATTCTGCTTTGCTTAGCAGTTGTAAAGCTAGTTTCAGATGTTACACATGAAGAAGGATGTGGACCACCTGCAGAGTAAACAGAATGTGAAGGGGTCTAAGGGAAACAGTGAATTATTTCAGATTGTTTAATTAGGAAAGAATGACAAGAATGACAACATAAACAGTCCACAAACGTGTGAGAAGTTACTGATAAGATGGGAATAACCTGTTTTCTACGCCCACCAGGGGCAGAAATTACAACCAGAATATTTTAGGTTAAACATTAGGACAAACATTTTTCAAGGCTAGAGGTACTGGAAAAAAGATTGCCAGTGGTGTGGTCAGGGTCTGTCAAGAACAGGCTATGGGGTCTTTAAGAACTGGCTATGTACATATCGTCCATAAACAGATATTTTATAGGTGTAGTGGAACTGTCTATCAGTATGACCATCTAAGGACCCTTCTGAGCCCTATGTTTCTATTGTTGTTAATGTCATAAGATTGTAGAGTGGTTTGGGTTGGAGGGGGACCATTAAAGCTCATCTAGTCCAACCCCCCTGCCATGGGCAGGGACACCTTCCACTAGACCAGGTTGCTCAAAGCCCCATCAAACCTGACCTTCAACACTTCCAATGACAGAACATCCACATCTTTTCTGGGTAACTTTTTCAGTGTCTCACCAAACTCAATTGTAAAAAATATCTGTCTTACATAAACTCTAAATCTACCCTTTTTCAGTTTGAAACCTTTTCCCCTTGTCCTAGGTAAAAAGGCCTTGGTAAAAAGTCGATCCTGGCCACCCCTGCCACCACGCACTGATCTCACCCTAACACTGTTGCTTGTAAGTACAAACTCGTGCAATGTTTTGGAGTTATCTTCATACGTAAAACTGTATCTCTTTTTCTAACCTTAAAACGTGTGTTGTAATACACAACTGCTCAACAATCTTCAAACATCTGCCATGGGTAAACACAAGAAGTGTCTTGTGGATATTGTACTTGGTATTTGGTAAGCTCTGAACCTGAGAATTTCCAGTCATTACTCTTGAGAAATAATTTCCTTCTGTAGGCTTTTTTTTTGCTAAAAATATTATTTTTAATACTTCTCTATTCTTGACATAAAATAATAAATTCTGAGTATTTTTAACCAGATTAATACAAATAACTAATAGTTTTCCAGCCATGTTGAGTCCCAGTTATTTATGTATACAACAAGAGTAAACAATAATTACCTTTACTATTAAAATTTTTTTCTTTGTGCGTGTGAAGAGAATACTGAAAGCAATTTTTAAAGTCAGTAAATCTGTTTGGTTACAATTTTTTAACTGTTGTTTCTTCTTGTGAAATTAAATTGTTCCTTCTTTTGTTATCTTTTAATAAATCATTAGGGCTCAATAAGGCAAAAAGGAATATTTATTATTTGTACTGATTCTAGCTGGTAGAAAATAGTAGTAAGTAGTAGTAGAGTGGAACATAAAGATAACTTTTATAAGGCAATGTCAAGATGAGTAACTGCTTAAACTCAGAAGTATTTTTTCCCATTTGTAACCTCTGCCACTGGCTTAATTCAGCCTTGTAAGTTTTGTTGGGTTTTTGTTTGTTTGTTTTTGAATGAGGTAATGCAGTGACAGAGAACCCAGATATCTGTGGTGAACTGTTTTTATTTACAAGAAATGTATGCAAAGTCTTTATTGCTCTGAAAAAGGGAAGAATCGAGCAACATGAGGCAGATTGCTTACAGTTTGTTCTTTTACAGTTTGTTCTTCTGACTTTCTCTTGGTAACATACAACTGTTGCTTCTCTTGCTCTCTGGCTTTTTTGCTGTTTGTTTGATGGGTGCCATCACACAGATACATGCTGTCCTTCCAAACTATACTCAACCTTTGCATCCTCATTCAAACCACAGTGCTACCCTTTATACAACATTATCTTAGTTCTTACCCCAGCCTTGTCATGCTTGTCTGGATTTCAGTCAGTATTTTTTACTGTGATGGTTACTGATAAATAAAGGAGAATTTAGAATGATTAGATAATTCTGTTCTGCCCACTGTTTTCAGCAGTGCCCACAGAGCAAAGTCAATAGCTGTTTTCAGAGACAGCAAATCTACAGGATGAATTTGCACTTAAAATTAAATACATATTTACGTAATCTTACCATTCAAAGTGCTATGGTATATGGCAGTATGTATGTATTTTTTTCCTTCTGGATGAAAATACACTATTAATTCTGAGGGAAAAGGGTTCTTTCTCCCACTGGTATTTTCCACAGGACTTCAGAAGAGGGCTGGCTTTGGAACTACTCCTTCCCACAGCAACAGAATGGTGCTAAACTGTTGCTGTGAGAGGCAGGGAACCTCAAGAGCACAGCTCCTGGTGAGTCTTGAGCCAAGTAGGAGGAGAAGAAAAGTGACCCTGCTGTTCACAGAGGCAGCCCTTTCCTTTCCTGGATGCTGTGTGTCTCAGTTCCAGCTGAGGTCCTAATTCAGCTGTCCTGCAGCTATTATCTGTCACAGCTGCATGATCTGCCTCTGTGTTGGGCAGGGAGAGCTCACATTGCTCAGAGCTTGGCCAAAGGTGGAAAAATCTGCAATTCAGCAGTGGAAGAAATGGCTCTTGTGAATGGCAGAGTTGGTGCATCTGAAGTGGCAGAAACTCCAGTATTACAACAAATGCCCTCCACGAGCATTCAAGGATTTAACAAGACAGTCTCTGAAATTGAGTAAAAGTTTTACAGAGAGAAAGAGAGTATAATTTTTTTCCTAACTGGTTGTGGAATAGTGTTACCACATCTGTGCCTCAAGACAGCTAGCTGTTCACACTTCCAGGTAAGCTCCTTGGTGAACAAGTTCTTCAGCTGAACTGACTAGATCCAGATGGGATACCAGCGGCAGCTGTGGTCACACCTTTTCATTAAATCAAGCCTCTGATTCTGTGTGATGTAGAGGAGTTTTGTCATTGACCTAATTAGGATTAAAAGCAAATCCCAATGTCTGCCTGCAAGACCCTGTGATGTCAGTAAAAGTTGCGCCATTTTACTTGTGTACCAACTTCTTAACACATCATGGCTTCCATCTGCATGTGCAGAGAGACCAAATCAACCACAGCTCTTAGCAAGCATTTGGGATAAAGCTGATCAAAAACAGAATAGTGGACCAAAATCTGCTTCGAGTTATTTTATGTTTCATAACAATTTAACTCCATTAATTGTCACGGAATTTCTTTTCAGTTGCACTGTTGCAACCAAGTGCAGAGCTTTTGCCTATTTGATTACTAAATTTGGTGCTTCTCTTCACATGACCTATTTCTTTTGAGTCTTACTGCTGTTGCTTGGATACGCTTCTAAGTCAGGCACTTGGTCTCATCTTGCTTTTCTCTGTGCTTTGTGCAATACAAATGGCTTGCTATTGAATATTTTTTCAGATTTTAAAATGTATGTGGTTTGTCTGGCACCTTGGTTTCAGCAGAACTTTTGTCTTTGATTACAGATGTGTTGTTTTACGAACAGTAAATCCTGTGTAACATTGAGTAGCTCCCTATTCTTGGTTTTCTTTAGTCAATTACAAAAATGGCACCATTATGCAGAGGAGAGGCCAATCACTACCAAATTTATGGGAATACCAATATTTATAGATAAACAGGGAGATACTCCTCCTTTTTATATGTATACTATAGCTGCAAGTTAATTCCTTACATGAATTAATCTTTTTGGTTTAGTCCTAGACTAGTAAAAGTATACAACAGGAATAAACTAAAGCATTTTAATTTGAGCTGAAGTATTCTTACTCCTGTATGGAGTTATGCTTATACCATTTTGAAAAAGGTATAGTAGACTAGAACAAGAAAAAGCTGAAGGAAGGGTGGCAGGGATTTTCAGAGGTAGTGAGTAGCTGCCATGTATGGAGAGGTTAAACAGGTTAGAATTCTTGGCCTAGAATAGTGACAATGGAAAGCAGCACAAGAAAAATCTTTAAAGCAAGGGATAGTTTGGAAAGGTAAATAAGAAGCAAGCAGTCTTGCTTCAATACAAGATTTAGGAGCATCCTGTTAATCATATAACGGATGATTAAAAAGTAGAAGGAATTACATTTTCATGTGACAGAAATAGTGCAATGGGATGCTGTTGTACTCTGAGGAGCCAGTACTATGAAAAAGGGAGTAGGTTGGCTAATGGAAGGTGTCTGTTGGTTGCCATTGAAGATAGCAGCCAGATACAAACCTCACCTCAAACCTTTGGTCACCGATCGCTAGAAGCTGGAAAAAAAACTACAACAGGAAGGTTCAGAGCATATTGCTAGATTTTTGTATGGGTTGTACAATTTATACAATGTGTTGTCTGGCCTGTGTTGCTGTATCTTCACTGCTGCTTGTAACTATGCTAACTGGATTAAAGATAGCACACATACACCTCCTCATGCTACAGGCACATCTTGATTTTTCTGTGTAGGTATTTTGGACATGTAGAACAAGTCTGAGGAGGAAAGGGAAACTTCTGAAGTCTACTCTTGTCAAAACATTCCATATGCTTACTCGTATGTGGCTAAGTAAACACACATATGTGAGTGTTTAATAGAATGTATTTTCTTTGTAGGTGCACCCAAAATTCTATTATGGTTTGTACTGCTGGAGCAATAACAGAAATCAAGGAATTAGAATTCTGTGAAGGGAGAAGTAATTGATGGTGATATGATGTAGAAGCACATGCCTGAAATGAGTTAAGTACCTAGACATTCAATTTATTAACAGTATTACCAAATATTATTTCTTTGAAGATGTTACTGGAGGCTGTGTGAAACAAAATTATCGCATATGCTTATTGACAATCCTAATGAGAACAACTTACATAATCATGTTCTTGATGGGAAACTTCTTGTGCAAAGAACTGCTGGCTTGTGAGGTTGATGCAGAGCACTGCTCTCTCAAGCAAAAGACTGAAGTGCCCACCTCACCGGAGAAGCAAAAAACTAAATAAACTGCTTAAGCATTAGCTGTCTAGTACCATTTTAGTTGCTACATGGTATATCTCTCCTGTCCTCCAGCTGTTTCAGAAAGCTGCAGACCCACCATTAGTCTTGCAGCGTATCTGCCAGACCTCTGCAGATAGCTTTGATACCCAAGGGTGTGTCAAGTGGCACTAGATGATGCAGATGAATTCTGTGAGTGGCAGCTGAAAGGTCACCCAAGGGGCTCCAGCTGACACTCCATCAGGTAAGAGACATGTGGAGAAACCTGTCTGGGTAATCAATTCCTTACCTAGATGTGTCAGAGCATTGATGTACACCTCCCAAAAGTTTATACTTCAGTTACATGGACTGAACTTAGTGGAGCCAATACAAATAAATCACATTAAAAAATCATGTATGTGTGGGTTACGCAAGAGCAGATTCCACACTATACAGTACTGGGTACATGAATTTGATTACATTTTTACTTGATTTGGTACCTAGTAAGGAAGAAACTTTAATAAAGGTTCCAGTTAAAGGCTCAGGTATTGTTTTTTCTGGTCTTTTAAAGAACTATAATTTCTTCATGATTTTCCTCCTTATTCAAGTATGTTCAGATGCTGTTGAAATTTCCTGTACCAAACATGAAACTGCAGGGGGCTGGACTAGATAACCTTTGAAAGTCCCTTCCAACCCAAACTATTCTATGATTTGATGATTCCATGTACATTTTAAATAACAAATAAATGTATAGGGGTTTTGAATTATTTCAATTAATTTCAAAACCCCTATACATTTATTTGTGGATAATAACCACTGTGGATAATAACCACTGCATCCCTCAGAGAGTGGAATAACGAGACATAGTGAATAAATCAATAATTAAATGTAACTACCCCATGACAAACAAATTAAAAAAACAACCAAACAAAAAACAAAAATAAAAAAAAAAACAACCACAAAAGCCCATAAAACAATTACAGATCTAGATAACAAAATCCAGGAAGATGTTAGTATCTACAAATACAAGTAATACTACATCTACCGTAAGAGCTCTGCATTTTTGTAATCAATGATTTTGGAAAACTTATGTTGTTTTCCTTAGTATTTGTCCCACAACATTATTTGGTCATACAACAAAATCCAAAAAATATATTAGGGCCTCCTGAAAGACCATTTAACTAATTGAGGCACAGCTGTTGTCTTTTGAAGGCAAAATGCCTTTCACCTTTGAATCTTGAAGTCCTCTTTAAAAATGTCAGAAAAGGGTGTGTGATTACTTCACTAATGATTAAGGAACAAGTCTAAAGTATCTGATAACTCAGTATTGCTTCTTATTAACAGTTGTGTAAGCAAGGGATATGGAAAACCTAAACACATTCACAGTGTATCTTTGTTCTGGATAGATGATGCCGGTATCTGTAGTCTTACAGCATGCTATGTCATTGTTGCCAAGTGGATCATTACCTTCAGTGTGAGCTACTGTAATTACACCATCTCATATTGCCAGTACTTATGCTAATTCTGCCATTTACCTATCTCTCTGCATTTAAGAATGTTAAATGCCTAGAATGTTTTAGATTGGAGTGTTTCAAACCTAGGTTAGTGTGAGTTTAAAACTTCTCTGAATTGATAAAACACGGCAGCTGCATACATTCTCAGTGGTTTCAGAATACACAACCATATTAAGCAGGAACAGACCCAGAATAGTTTGTTCTGCCAGTTGTTGCACGGATCCATATTTCCAGACACACAAATTTCCAACAGGTCCTATCTGTCTGGCATGTGGAAACCCATCTCTCTACAGACGGTCGTCATACACCACTAAGGGCAGTCTTTCAGCCCTTACCACCAGCCACTTGTAAGTGCTTGAGGGAATGTCTTGACTGTGTTTCTTGTGCAGTTACACAGGCGTGGTGACTACTTATGGACACGTGAAACCATTTCATTTAGTCTGGAGCTGGGATTTCAGACAAGCTGTCTCAGCTGAGACCCAGGACCAACCCTGCTTCTTACTCTCACTTTTGTCAGTAAGCTGCTAGCTTCAGAGTGACAACATAAATGAGTGCTGACAGCCACCAAGTATTTACCAGTATTTCCAGAGTGTCCAGAAGAGCAGACAAGTTCTCTTTCAGTTAAGTGAGAAAGACTGATAGATACTGTTGCAGGTGTGGATTTAATAAAGCAATAGAATATTTAATCCTCCCACACCTCAACATTAGCCTTCACCACATAGTTCCCTTCTGTAGTACAGGGAACTGGTGCTATTAGTATAGCACTGCAGCTTCTCTGAGAGTCTTCAGCCCTATGTGCCTGGGAAGAAGCTGTGGCTGTCTCTAACAGCCAAGTAAGCCCTGCCTGCACTGCTAGTCCATCCTATTCTGCATCCCAGTCCTGGGGGCCTGCCTACCATAGGTGACCTCTGGGGGAGTGTTTTGCCACACAGCCTGATAAGGCAAGGGTGCACACCTCCAGTACATGGCCCTACGCAGAAGAGAGAAGCCTTCATTTGTCATCCTCATGTAGAGCATCCCCCACCGCAATACTGCAGTAATATATTAAGCGTTGTGTTCCCATGAGCTCTAGGGCCTTACATAAATACTAGAGGGACTCACAGTGACTCACGTAACAGCTTTACATACACCCCCTAACACCCAGGATGGACTAACTGAGATTGCCTGTACCGACACTCTTGTTACATGTGAACTGAACACAGACTTCATTATATCACATTACCAAAATACAACTTCATTTTTCTTGAAAAAAATGAATGCATTTCAAACTCTGTTTGCAGTACATGACTAGATCCCCCAGGAAAAAAAAAAAAAAGGGTTTTTAAGGGTTTTTAAGGCATGCAGAGTGCCTCGTGTTCCCCAGAACTGACAATACACCATGTATCTTTATTACCCCATGCTCTGAACACTTCTAACAGCACTTCAGACCCACGCAGACTCAGATGGTGAAAAACTGTACCAGACTTTGCATTCAAGGAACTCACAAGATATATAAAAGTACACGTTGAACTAGATCAGCACATGCAGTCTTTTAACGACAGCATATGCACACCTCCTTGTACTGCCATGCTTTGTTCACTAGGCCTGTAGAGGAGAGCACAGCAAAAGACTTTCTCTTTTGACTCATCCAATTTTTCTTTAATAGCAAGTATTACTTCAGTGATTTCTTTGCAGTGTTTCACTGATTATTTCAAATGGTATTATTTTCATTTGTTCAATATTTTGTTCTTGGTGGTGTTGGTTTCTAAGGGGACAAGTTTTGTCATTTTGCAAAATCCAGTGATCACATTTTTATTTTGGTCAAAAAAATTAAGAGAGCTTTATTCAAGGCTTGTGATTTTAATTTCTGGTTTGGAGTCTCGGATGAGTAGATACCCATATGCATCAACTGGGGGCTATCTGAAAATGAAGGGGAAGCTATGTTTCTGAGTATGCAGATGTAGTATGCAAACTAGACAGAAAGCAGTAATAATGACAAGCTTGGGCCTTTAGGAATAGGCCAGAAATTAACAGAAGTAGGGTATTTGTAGTTTAATGGATTTAACTAGTTTTGTCATTTTCCAAGCAGTGGTGAGAACAGTCAAATGAATAGATGTACAGTTCATGCTAAGGCATAGTAAGTAAACAAAGAAGTTATATGCAGACTTGCAAATGTATCATACAACACAATAGTGTATACTGTACAAAAAGAAAACAGATAAGAGTCTTCAGATTTAAAATTGTTGGACAGCTGTCAAATCTCTGATTGTTTTGCCAGCATTATTTCCCTAGAGAAATCAATTTATGACAGTATGAAGAATCAGCTAGAAAAACTTTTCATAATTGAGAACTCCATAAAAGACAAGCTCCCAAGTTATGCTTCAAGTTACTTCTAAGTTAGAGTAAAATGGACCACATAAAGTAGAGATGTGGTATTTTCATTTTATATAGATACTTTTATGAAGTTATTTGTATGAACACATGAAATATTTCATGAAGCACAACAAAACCAACGATGTGCACATCTGATGTAGTTTGGATCAGCTGATGGTATTCCTGCTCTCTGATTCGGGTAGGCCTTAAAGCCTCATTCATGCTGCGCTTATCCAGCAGCTGAATGGCACCTGAATTGAGTCACAAAGGGTGAAAGACAATTGGAATCATTAACTTCCTCAGCCATCCTATGGCCATTCCCATTCATAATTCAGAGCTCTCAGAGTAGGACTGTAAGGGGATTTGTCATGGCATTACTTTCAGAGTTACTTCAAAGGTAGTGGCTGGAAGGACTTATACTGAAAACTAAATTCTTGAACTTGCCTCTCCCAAACCTTAGTTAAGCTCTTTCTGCTACAATCATAATTTAGCAGCCTACCAAAGTATTAGCAAAATCTTCCTTTGGTTCCTAAATCCAGGCAGAGATATTGTTAAAACAGCTATTCGAAAACCACAATCAACTGAAAGTCTGTACCACATGTGAGGCACAGCATTAGTCACAGCACCATGGCTACAAATGAGTCCAGTCTCTGCCCATTTGGTTAGAATGTGTAAATTCTGCTATCTAGTAACGCATACCAATTATATGTGTTATATAGATACATAATTGGCTGCACAATATAGTTTCTAGTCATCTTACTCTGACAAATACATAAATTTAAATTTAGTCACTAAAGTTTTAATGTAATTACCATGACAGCCTTTAACTTTAGGTGTCCCATCATCCATTTTACAGTATGTCATTAGCTTGTGAATGAAAAGTATATTTTACTGTTAATTGCTCCTTACTTTTATGAAAACACAGTGTTTCAGTATACCTCAAAACCTAGGTAAAGGTAAATCAGAAGAGAATGATTGCTATTATGTGTAACTTCAGATAAGAGCCAATATTAATCTCATTTATGTGATTATATAGGGTATGGTTGTCATACCATACATCTATCTATATGCATTTGAATTAATAAGGTTTGCTGTATGGAAAAGTGCTTACCTTGTGCCAGCTCTTGATCTTATCTAGTCTTTCTCCAAGTTTATTTGATCACTAAAAATAGGACAAAGCAAAACCAGTCAAAAGGGGGTAGATTTCTGTGGAGCTAATAAATTGCATGGGCTCAGGAAAAGATCTGGTGAGTGCCAAAGGCAATGATAAAATGGCACAGAGCCTTAGAGCTGGCAAGGAGGGCACAGGGTAATGGTGGACTGGAAGTGAGATCTCACTCTCTTAGTAGTAGTGAGATGCTGGATGGACTTAGCTATGTGAGCAGAGTTTCAACCAGGTGTAACAGAGAATTTCACTTCACAGTAGGTTAACAGCTTGTTAATTTAGTGAAGTATTGTGGTAGTTATTAGTCCAGGGAGAAGAGGGTTAACCACAGAAAGAAAAATCCACTGCTCATGAAATTCTGATGGATTCTTTTTTGTTTTCTACAGCTCATCCATTATACTCTGGATACAGTCTGCATTGTGACAGAGACAGACCATTAAAATGCTATAATCAGCTAACAGAATCACCAGACTGGACTACAGTCACAAATGGATACAAGCTTGGGATTTATATTTAGCTATGGTGATAGTGCAGTTTGCAATTTAGTGTGGGCATACCTGATCCATCTTTAAATTAGCTAATCCTCCTAATGGAAAATTTCTAATCACTGCAACACTGTGCTTGGCACAAGGTAATTTACTTTTGCCATAGTGGTGTTTCCACTGTGCCAGCAGTGTATGTGTATGCAGATTACATTTTAGACACATCCACCATCTACTTATGAATCCTAGTTTTCTTTTGTGAACATGGAGTTATGGGCTAACCTTTATGTATGGCTAGCAAAATGAGAACCTTTTAGAAAGAAAAGAAGTGTAACAGTTAAGAATTCATCACACAGCAAGAATGTGACACCTAGTGGATAGATGATGTTGAGGAAATGTGATGGTCCCATCAAGGAATATTGACGTAAAATGACCCTATCCAGTAGAACAACAAAGTTGATACCAAAAAAGACACTGATCTTGAATGACTCTTTACACAGGGCCAAAGTAATTGTGTAATGGCAAGTTTCCCCTGAAAGCTCAGAAGTGAAGGTGGTAAGAGATTGGTTTAGAAGGATTTTTTGTAAGCTACTAGCAGAATGAAGATGTCAGGCCAAGGCCAGACGGCTTTTAAAAAACAGAGACTAAAGCCCATGAAGACTTTGTGGATATTCAAGAGATGCATCATAACTAGAGATTTACAACAACCAAAACACAAGAATAAAGCATGTCTAAAAACCCACTTTTGTTAAACCCATGTCTGTTATTGCCGTGCTGTATCTTCAGGAAGTGAGTTTTCACAGTCAGAAATACTCACTGGTGAGTAAATATATGGGTAGGCCCCTGAGAGCTGAATGAAACTGAGACACAGTTTAAGAAGTATGACTAACACATTCTGCCCAAGATAGCTGATACAGACTGTGACTATCTGAAACTCCCTACTGCAGTCTGTAGAGCCTGAATTTCAAGTATTCATATACCTCCATTCTCCCACGTGCTCTAGTCCCTTACTGCTTCACTAGCTATAAATAACAAAAAAAAAACACAACACATCACCAGAAACACCATCCTAGCTAACTAGGCCATGGCAGTTAAACCTCAGGTTTAAAGGGTGGGGCCAGTTCTGCTCAAGCTGTGCTTCACCTTAAAAATCCACTGCACAGGCTGGAAGGGCTTACTCTCACTCGTCTATGGACGGGAGAGGGTCTAAACTGTAGGTGACAAGGTGCATGGGAAGCTGCAGATTCAACACTGCACGTGGGCGGACCAGCGCATGTGTAGCTCGAATTGGATCAGGAGTTGACAGTCGTGGTCAAAGACTTCCTGATTGCCTAAGCAGCCTTTTTTCCTATTAGATTTGGATATCCCACTTGCCCTTGGCCATTGTGCTTGTAGTAAGTGTAGTAATCTTCGCTCGTGAAGCCAAGCCATCAATCAATCAATCAATACTGGCTACCAAGTACAAACCCAACTTTTCTCTCTATTTCCAAATACACTGAAAAGTACATGTTGAATAATAGCCAGATGCTAGAGGAAGGATAAAGCTTACCTTCTGGCAGTTGTGCTCTGTATAGGGTCTATACATTGGCTCTAAAAAACCTCTACCACAGGGGTCTTTTTCCTGGGGCAGTCCCTAATTCCACTGGATAAACCAAAATGAAGTTGCTTGTCAGATAATTAGTCTATAGCAGTTCCATCTTACCTGAAAAGCTGTTATGAATTTGCTTTCAGTAGCTTGTAAGTTAAGCAACAGTGGGTGTTTACTTGGCACAAACCAGAGAGGCAAACACAATGCAACTCCCAGCTGTGAGGGACAGTTTCTGTGACCATTCTAGATCAGCATGCGCTGGTTATGTCTGTAGGCTGACCTATTCGCAAGAGACACCGAGAGCCCTAGTATTGTCCAAAACAATACACAAAAACTTCCACAAACAAAAACAAGTTACAAAAACTTCCACAAACCCAGCAGCAGAGTTCATTTTGCCAGCCAGCTTCTCCCTCTGCCTTTCCTGCTCTTCAAGGCACACTTTGCTCTTCTCAGCTACACGTGGATGTGTGGAATTTCTACAGAAATCTTTGTTATCAAAAAGGCAAAATTTTCCTCTTTTCCCCGTAGAAAATATGTTTACAAACAAAACTAACACAGTTGAAGAGCAGGGCTTTTAGCTTCAGCTCCAGAAAGAAACCTGGCCTGGAAAGAGAGACAGCATGGGAAGAGAAATGAGCAAAAACCAGAGAATGAAGAAAAGAGGGCTCATTGTCCATAGGAGCACTGGTAAAACACCGTAATAAAGCATTTTGACAGTACTGCGTCACCGGCACAGGGCCGTCCCTAACCACCACCGCCACTCCCCTCAACATTCCACTGCTTGTTCCGTGAGCACGAAAACGAGGCGGAGCAGCACCGCCTCTGCCAGTGGGAGGAGGGCGGTGTCAAAGCGGGGCTGCCCTGCTGCAGCTCCCGTCAGCGGCCGCAGCGAGGTTCCCGCACAGCTCGGCCCGGCCCGGCCCTGGGGATGTGGAGCCGGAAGCCTGCAGTGACTACCGGTATGGGAGGGTGGACAGTTGTCTCCCAGCGGGAAGGGGTTCTAGCTGCCGTGAGGGGGGGAGTGTCTCGCCTTCCAGCCCAGCCTTGCCTTCCCCGCCTTGGGGCGCCGGCGGTGTTGAGCTGTCCCTTGGTGACCCGGCCTGTCTGCCCGGCAGGAGGCGTCCGAGGTGGAGCGGGGCCGGGGGGGAGACACGGGGGGACAGGGACAGGGCGGTGTCCGCCGACGGACCGCGGCCTGGCGGGAAGGAGAGAGGGTGAGTCACTGGTTGTGCTGGCGGCGGCGATGCGGCTGGGCCTTTCTTCCCTGGTCGTCCGGGGAGCTCCCTCTGTTCTGAGGGGGCCTGGAGCCCTTCCTGAGCTTCGTGGCTGGGAAAGGAGTCTGGGGGTTAGAAGTGCTTTTGTTTGTGTTCCTCACAGCTCTGGGTCTGTCGCAAGTTACGCTGAGCGTAGGTATAAAAGGAGAGGCCAAGTTGTATCCGGTGGGGTCAGTGGCAGGCATTCAAAACGGGTATAGGAAATCATAAATATATGTTGGAGGGTGCTTAAACCCTGCTCTAGGTTTCAGTTGTAATAAACCCCAGATTATCAGATCTTACTTAGTCACCACTTCAGGCACAATGATTCTGAAGAAATTACAGAATCACGGACTGGTTTGGGTTGGAAGGGACCTCAAAGCTCATCCAGTTCCAATCCCCTGCCATAGGCAGGGGTACCTTCCACTAGACCAGGTTGCTCGAAGCCCTGTCCAACCTGTCTTCTGATAGCACTAAAGTTTAATGAGTAGCATACTGTTTATACAGAGGCTATTTGCAGAAGGTAACTGTTCTGGAAAGTGATACTAGAAATATTTAATAATTGTCTAGTGCATTTCATTTTTTAAATAATCTTGACATTGCACCATATGCAATGTGGCAAGCATTACCCTAAAAAAATAAAACTAATTATGGAAAGTGAATCAATGAGGTGGAATGACTCATCACAGCATAGTCAATTATTGACAGTCACAGTGCCTTATACCTGATGATATTTTCCTTTGGTTCATCCTGCTTATGCAAATTTGTATCTAAAATGATTTTAAATACTTTATTAATATAGTGTATTTCTTTTAAAGACACACATACTTGGTTTCAGAGCTTTAAATCTGAATGCTGCAGAATTGTGTTTGTGGAAACTGGCAAGTGAAACTAACTGAAAACCCCATTGAAATCTGTCTTGAAAGTTTTTTTGTTTTTTTTTGCCAGTTAAAAGCAAATAGATCCTGTTTATTATGATATGCATGTTTGCAGTATCACTGTACTCTGTAGGATGATTTACATGAAATACTGAAGATTGTGATTTCTCTGTGAATCACACAAGTATAACTGTAATAAAAGGTGAACTGCATCCTTAGAGCAACTTAGAAATCGAGTAATTTCAGTCTTTGAGCAGGAGAGGGGAAAGCTGCTTAAAGACAGTAGATAAAATCTTCAGTGACCTTAATAGCAAGAAAAAAAACAAACCCCATGCCCACCAATCCTTCTGCTCAGTTTTAAATTCAGTCTGTTGTAGGTTTTTTTGGTTCTTGTTTTATGTCTTTTTTTTTGTTTGGTTTTTAGTTTATTTTTTAACTGAGTAGCTTAGTTACCAAATTTTTCTTATAATTAACACCTCTGAGATGATGTATGAAGCATCTTAGAGATATTGATAATGATATAGTGATCTCTGTAGAATCATTTATATAAAAACTGAAGACGCAGTGTCAACAAGACTCACAAGGAACAGCTGAGAGCACTGGGGTTGTTTAGTCTGGAGAAGAGAAGGCTCAGGGGGGACATTATTGCTCTCTACAGCTACCTGAAAGGAGGTTGGAGCAAGGTGTGTCAGTCTCTTCTCCCAGGTACTGCACAAGGACAAGAGAAAATGGCTTCAAGTTGCACCAGGGGAGGTTGACTATTAGGAAAAATTCTTCAGTGGAAGGGATGTCAAGCATTGTAAAAGGCTGCCCAGGGAAGTGGTTGAGTCGCCATCCTTGGAGGTATTTAGAAGTCCTGTAATGGGTTTTTTAGGAACATGGTTTAGTTGTGGATGTGGCAGTGTTTGGTTAACAGTCAGACTTAAAGGTCTTTTCCAATCTGAGTGGTTCTGTGATTCTGTAAAGGTTGACATAGATCATTTGGATATTTACATATAAAACTATGCTGATGCTCAACACTTTGTAACTGGACTTTGTCACCGAACACTTGTTTCATATCTTTAAATGTCATACAAGTACTTTGTGCACAATTTGCCTCTCTGTGTGATAGATATCCCGCTCTCCTACCCAAGTTAGTATGAGCTTCCTTGGTTTGTTGAAAGCATCACTAGATTAATTGAGAAGGTGTCTCCTTAAATATATTATGTATTTGCCCTCTTTTACCAGGAGAATCTTGCAGGTTTTAGATCTCTCTTTGGCTATTGTTCTCTTCTGTTTTCATTTGCAGACAAATACACGGTAGGAAGTTGCAAACTGTTG